GGAGGTATTATGATCAGTTGCTTCACGACTTTGAAGCGTGAGACAAGACTGCCTATTAAGCAAACAACTCAGAACATTTCAACTTAAACTGTTTACAATAGAGCTGCAAAATGTTTGTTTGCTTGCTCCGTGCTCATCACATATAACTCGTATCAACTATGTTTCACTAAGTTTTTGAATGTACTGATGCGGGGTAAGTTTTAGTTGTACGCTTTGGGACCGGAAATAAAAGTGTGAAGTCGGTTCACATTTTTGCGTTCGGGAACGGAAATTGTGCGTAATGACGTTGCTCCCGATGCGGTGTTGATTAGCCTTGCGCCGTTCACAATCGTCCTGTTTTAGAAGGTTTTGCTGTCCAACGTTGCAGAAAATTGTATCAAGGATTGACGGCCTGCAGTTGTACTGAGGCTGTGAATGGAAGAAACGTTTGCACCGCATGATAACCCCCGTCATTTCATTGTTTTCTTCGAGCCAATCGGCACTGACACATTACGTACTGGAGGACATTGTCTTCCAGGCAGTTTGCTGAACATCTGCGTTATCTGTCAGGGTTGATTGAATAATGTGCTCTAAACACGAGTCCAGCGTCCGGTTCGAACTCATTGCGGTGAGCGGCACTCCGAAATGACTGCTACGCGGTGATTTATTAGCAGCATAAATACGACAGTTATAAAAACACAATACGGAGCTCGTGCTCATCGTCAAACGAGCTGAACGAGTGAGGTCATACAACTAATACAAAAGGTAGTATAACTCATGTTATAACTAATGATAACTCATGTTAGGCGACATGACTTCGAGAAAGCTGATGTCGAATATCCTCCGTCGTACATCTGATTGTTTTAGGCCAAGTTGGCCATCAGCCAAAGCAGAGAGTCTTGTAATTGGACTGTACGATCCAACCAGGGGAAATGCCAGCCCACCAACTGAATATCCATCAAGCTATTCAAATACAGACTCGGCAAATTAGGGTAGAATAAAACTTACAAGAAGAATCTCACACCCGTTGTTGCCACAGTCCTCAAACTCACCGCACGCGCTACCATTCTGTCTGTTGATGAAATTCTCCTGGCAATGTTTTGTGATTCCAGTCAGGATGTTGCGCTGTTAGGGATAGCATTACGGTGACATCCAAAGTTGTATGCAAATGAGCACAGAATTTTTATGCAGGTGTACCAAGTGACGTTTGTGCCAATAGGCTATTCTGTGAACAACAGTGCGGGAACAATGCAAAACCTACTCCCGGTGTCACAGTGAGGTCCGCGTAGTCTATATCGTGCTTCTCACGAAATTGCCCTTGATTGCGCCAGTAAAATTCTACCCTGTCAATCTATTAGTGGCAAACGGGCACGTGTATTAGACTTACTCGAGTACTTGGATGGTTATATCGAACAAAGCTACCATGTTACTTCCTTCATTACAGGGGCTTGCAACTGACCGATTGAGGTCCACAGTGTGTATAATTTGATCGCGGTGCTCCTAATAGGAAACAGTCCCGGAATAGGTTGCACACCCATCCAAAATAACCAATAACGCATCGACGTTGTACTTGCCCTTAATTCGTCCGGTCAACTGTAAGATTCGTTTGTGCTATTTCATTGGATGAAATCTATTAACGTCAGCGAATCTCAACCATTCTTTCTAGCAAGCAAGGTATAATAATGACCAAACCCTTCACGGATGAGGAAGGAAGTAATACGGTGTTATTCGGATCCGGAATGCTCAAACTGTTTTAGACCTGGTTGCCCATAGCAAGGTTAATTGTTACAACATAAAGCTAGTACGAAACACTGAACACCGCGTTGAACAACCTTCTTGGAGTTTGCCGTGTAGGGGATTTAATTTATCATCTTATAATTAGGATTTAACCCGTGAAGTATGAATGTGTTTTTTGTTAAATATAGCCTTAGTTGCGACATTCCATGACAAACTATTCAGAAGTGTCTGCCGCGCGCTACTCAGCGGCAAGGATTCTTACCTTTAAATAAATTATGCGGAAAATATCATTACAGCATTTTAGGATGGGTCTCCATCTACCGTATATTGTGCAAAGCCTCCGCGAACTTCCATTTTTGTGATAATGCGCAGTGTTTTCCAGAACAATTTTATGTTTGCACATATAGAATTGTGAACGATTTCTGACGCTTGACAAACCATGTCATATTGTTGAATGGGTCACTCCAACATGAATGCTGCGTATAAAATCGTGTCAGATTTTACCTCAGTTCAGTGGCGCAACGCTTTTGTCAATGACTCATACCACCACAAGCTGGTTTCCTATACGGGTATCGTTTTCTCACCTATGAATTCGACATAATGATTCCCTATCGAATGCGAGGCGCGCAATGAATAGTCAGGCTTTTATGGGCTGGCGTAGTTTACATGTACAGGTTTGGAATAGGAGCAAATTTGCCGATTATATAACCCTCCGGACAAGTGTGCCTCCCCAAGCCTCCTCTATTTTAAGGGTGAGGTGCATTCTGCATCGGCCGTAGAGCGGTCAAAATAGAATGAAACTTCCAACTACAGAGTCTGAGATTTGGTCGCGAATGTTATACTCCCAACAAGAAGTAGCGTAGATACTTCCCAACAGCACTGGAATGAAGTCACACAGAACTATGCTGCATGGGCAAAAGTGAACAAACAATTCTACCCCGTAAACGTGTACCTACCGCCATTGTTTCCAAGTAATTTTCCTACGAATATGATCCTCCAGCCGTCTAATCCCACACTCAGGATAGCCAGTACGGTTCCGGTTGGCAGGTACTTGTCATAGCATCTGGAAATTGTCCTTTAGAATACCCTCGTTATGGCGCACATATAAGGCGCAAAACAGTTTCGATACTGAGACTGATCGTGTGATATTCGGATGCAAACACTTCAATCTTATCGGTTGATTTTATCAAGGCAACCAATTCAAAAGCGTCTAGGAGGTGTATTCAACGGTTCACAATTAATCAAATATCAATCGACTGTCCGTTTTTGGGGACCAAGAAAATTCATGCCGGACAAGCGTCCTTTGGAACGCATTTCCAATAAACTAACGGAATTCCGTGAAAACTTTTGACACAATGTCAGTGGACCTGAACCAGCAAACTTAGACGATAATACATGTGCTATACACTGATGTTTGTGTGTGTAATCAAACGGAACATTCAACAACAACGTGTGAGTACTAATGTTTAAAATTACGGTCTCATGGTGAGCCGCTTCTTCGCTGTATGGAACAAGACGCTATCCTGGTTGATAACGAAATTAAAGGTGTCTGCTTTTTGTTCATTTCAGGCGATGAGAATTCTCCCAGTCCGAAAATTCCATGGTCATTATGATCTGCTGGTGCACCGGAACGATCGGGCGATAGCAGTATATGCTCAGCGCAATATTCTATATTTTAAATTGTCCATTGGATCATTTAATGCTTATGACACTGGCTGTTTAAGGACCCAAGTGACCAGTTCAAATTCCAATGACAGTCTTATAAGTCGTCACTTGAGTGGCGGAAACGCCCACCTCCCAGTTAATATTGACGACGACTGCCAATCAGGAGCTGACTAAATAATATCAATTAAAATATCGTTTGACGGAAACCAGAGTTACCCCGATAAACCACTCCATTAGTTTTTCCACAAATCTCTAGTTAGATAGATAGATAGATAGATAGATAGATAGATAGATAGATAGATAGATAGATAGATAGATAGATAGATAGATAGATAGATAGATAGATAGATAGATAGATAGATAGATAGATAGATAGATAGATAGATAGATAGATAGATAGATAGATAGATAGATAGATAGATAGATAGATAGATAGATAGATAGATAGATAGATAGATAGATAGATAGATAGATAGATAGATAGATAGATAGATAGATAGATAGATAGATAGATAGATAGATAGATAGATAGATAGATAGATAGATAGATAGATAGATAGATAGATAGATAGATAGATAGATAGATAGATAGACAATCATTCAGACAGACTAGCTGACAGACTGACTGACTGACTGATAGATGTAAAGATAGGCAGGCAATTGGAGGAATAGCGGCCAGTCTACATAATAACAGCGGAGCGATCGATTCGTAGATCAAACAAGTTGAGCGTCTGTTGAGTACCTCTAGCGTGGTCAGCGATAATCAAGCTGATGTCGAAAAAATATCAGTCCAACTGACAAGCGTTTCACCGATTGCAATTATTTGTCGACTCCCTATTACATCCACCAAAGGAACATGCTGTTTACCACTGACCGTGAAAAGAACACGGAAATTGTCACCTGCTAAACTCAAGGTGCTACCTTATTCTGAAAGAATATCGTTATTCTATCAACAAATTTTGTTGGATGAGCTCAAGGCATAAATCTACTCATGATAACTAAGGCCCGTTTCAGATATTCAGCGAAATTGATGAAATGTTTAGCGATATTCTGCGTACTCCAGACTGATCTTCAGAAGAATGAAGTTGCTCAGTAATTTACGTTACGATGGCAAACGAGTGATTTTATATAGTTTCTTCCTAATGGTGGGTAGTCTTGGAAGTCAATTCTTCCAATCAGCATTGACAGCTCCTGATAACAATAGGTGTACTCAACTGATTTCTTGATTCAAGCCGAATGCTGCAGATAGATGGCCCTCTTGACAGGTGTGCTTGTTTTCAAAATCTCGACGGTTGATGGAGGTCGCAACCTAGGAAGAAAATGAAATCGCCCAGCGAATGCTGCAATGTGCACTTCAGTTTGGAGTTTTCATTTTTCATATAGAGTCGATCTCAACAAAAGAACTTAATGCACGATAAAAGATCGTTTTTAGTAATTCTATTTGTTTGTTGGGGAGTAGGCATTAAGGACGCATTGGAACAGGTAAATGTCGTCAGTCCAATATTTTATCGACCGTTTCCTGAATCCACCAGAAATCCAACGTAATTCGTTCAGATGTGCGACAAAGCTTTTATAGTCTATCTACAATCTCCCACAACTAATCTTCTCGCTTCTTTCAGGTTAACCATATCGTCAAGGAAACGTTTCGTGACATCGTCGTGGCGGTGACAACCGACCATAAGCCAACGCTAACGGGCTTGTTCAAGAGAGATGAGCTAATGTGTTTCCAGGCAGTTTTCGATCAATTCCGGACGCACTGCTTCACAATTCGGCAGGTAAGTCGACTTCTTGATGCACGGAAACAAGGGTGTGCAAAAATATGCACACATTTCTAGCCAATGCATTCACCCACGGCGTCACGTTAGGTGAGTCTCAATCTCAAAAGTACTCTTAGTTAAACGTCCAGCAAATGAATTTCGGGGCAAATGTGGTGCGCAAATAACTAGCACTTTCTATCTTTTCCTCAAATTGGACGTTCCTGCTGCAGCATGGTGTTTGTTAGTTCAACACCATGTAAGCCATTTTACGCCACAAACCGTTATCACTGAAGCCACTGATGGAAGGTGGAGAATGATGTATCTAATTCGGAATTCTAAAAAATCCAAAGTGTTATGGTGTACGATTATGGGTATACCAAGTTTGACATTAGTTGGATGAAGCTGCCGTTTTCAATTCAGTTCAGTTCAGTTTAGTTCAGTTCAGTTCAGTTCAGTTCAGATCAGTTCAGTTCAGTTCAGTTCCGTTCAGTTCAGTTCAGTTCAATCCAGTGCGGCTCAATTCAGTTCAGTTGACTTGAGTTGACTTCAGTTCAGTTCAGTCTCGAATCTGTCCATCACATCTGTTCCTAACGGACAAGCATTTTTGTTGCCTGATTTCGCCAAAATAAAATGAATTGCAGCTGTTCTGCATCGTGTTTTTCCATCGACGCGAAACATGGGTTGTGAATTTTCAATCAAGATAGCCGTCCAAAGATCGTTCGGTATAAAACAAAAGCACTCAGGCAAAACCGTCGACATTCTCAGAAATTGTGGACTCATCAGGACGGCTCACATATCTGATGTACCAGTGCACGATGGGTGCGCGGGACGAACAAAAACAGGCCAGTCTGCCGACACAGTTAGAACAGTTTTGTGTCGTCTGTCGACTCAACTACACTGCTTATATTTCAATGTATTTCGTGAGCACTCTAGCCGTGATAAAGACCCATCATCAAACTTAGCCAGCCTGACTTTAAACGTATTCGCATACAGCTCTTTAAGGCTTCATCTTATATTTAGATTAGGCTGTTGGGAAGCCCTTAGTTTGTCTAACAATCAGACTGGTAAGGAGTCTTTTGGAAATTTCTCTATTGGGCAGTTGTTAGTTTAGCACATTTTCAACCTGATGCTGTTGTGTCAGATTCATCAACTGGTCGATTTTCATGCGTGTGGGAAGGGAAGGGATCGACACCATGGCAGATGTATCTTGTCTTAAATAATTATCCAGGTACTCCAAGGAACAAATGTTAGATACACAGGATGCGCAGTAGCGAACATAATCAGCGCAATGTACACACCGATTACCCGGGGAGGAAGAATACCTGCTTATGAACTGACCGATAAAACGCCAGGCGACAAAACCGGCTAGTTGGTCACTCGGTTGATACACAACAAAATCCGTACGACTATTCTTGAAATGACCTGGTTCCCATAGGTTTGCTGAAAATCATTCAGCAACTAACTGCAGGTCTCACATTTCTACGTTTCATTTGATAGGCCTACAACCTGATGTTCAGTTAAAGCAAGGTTGAAAGAAAATCGCCGACGAATAACCCAAAGACGAATCTGCGCCACCGAGTACGTGCGGTGTTACAGTTGATTCACACGTTCCACGGATATCTTTCTTAGAACTTACGTATTAAATCATTCCATACTGGACAGACCACTTGCCGTTGAGCAGACTGCGACGGACGTTTTTATGTGAAATGTTGACTACGGAATAAAAACACTCTTACGCTGCAATGAATTAGTTGTTGGAGCCAGGTAACATCCCCTGTAGTAGAAGCCAGCAACTATATAAAACCAGCACGAAATGCGTTGCCATTCGCTAGTTAGTGAATTGTTCTTCTGACCGCAAGGAATCAGCGGTAAGCAAGCCAAGCCTGAAATCCCCGTCCCGTTAACTTTTGAGTTGTGTCTTACAGTCATACCATTTCCTTCTGTCGTAAAAGTGTGTTTCATCCGGGCAGTCGTCCGGCATCCTACAGCGTACAAAACATCAGAGACCGGTATTGAGCCAAAACCCCAACTCAGACGGCAATCCGGTTGCTCCGGTTACACACAGAATTTAGAAATCGATTAAAGCAGGTTTACGCCACCGACTGGTGGAACTCTTCAGGTACACCTCGTCTTCGAATAAATGTCATGTTAAAATTAAAGGAATGTTACTGGTACTGCTTTTCCCACTCCTGTGGCCGAGGCCAGAAGAGGTACCCAAGAGCCTCATTCCAAACAAGCGAGCGCGTGCTAGTGGAAAAGTTACAGAGGCTCCGCGCTATTAAAAGAGCACTTTCTGGCAATTTTGCAGGCATTCTGGTGAGCGTTTGGTGAACACCCATCAACTAATGGTGCTTGTGAGGAATGAATGAACGCTAATTACATTTGATCGTGCTTCTGTGCATGAATGCTTTTGCCAATTTGATTTAATTATTGACGGCCTGGATGCTTGCCTGCTTTCCCTTTCAAATTTTGGTGGAGTTTTACGGTCTCAGTAGATTTCGACCATCCTAGGGTTAGGTTCATAGGTACAAATACTCCCATTTGCACATTAACATTGACTTGTCGAAGGACGCAACAAAACCCAAAGAAATCTTTCGAATATACTGGCCAATTTCAACTGGATTGTAAACTAAACTAAGTTGCAGGATTATGTTCAGTGACGAAATGACGAGTCAGTTCATTCATCACGGGTGCGTGAATACTCGTGGCGTTATTTGTGTCCCAAGCATATATCACATAAAAGTTGCCGCTCCGTAGGATGTCTAAAACATCGTATGCAGGAGCATGATATTCGACCCAATCGTAATTCCCGGGAGAAGCTAAAGGTGAATTGGCATTTTGTTGCCCTGACCCGCAGGTTAACAAACGCAAAAGTAGTCTTTTGCTTCCCACAATAGGAGACAAAACATTAAGCAAATCGCGTGAAACTCAACATATCATGTTTTGCCCGGACTAGTCATGCTACGTAAACGACAGAAGCGAACCGCGCACCTCGGTCTAGATCACCCTTCCAAGTTTTTAGATTTAAAACGATAATGATGGTACAACTAGCAGACCCCCCATTGGAGTGACGACATTTTATCCGGAGAGCTCGAGATAACTCAGTGGTTAAGGGAGGAACTAACTGGTCGGAGGGTTTGCAGTTTGGGCTCAAACCTGGCATTTCGCCTGCTCCTGTCTAGAATTGGGCAGTTTCTAAACCCTTGGAATTATTTGGGTGGTGCGGTACAACATGGTAATGAATAATATATATTCTTTGCAGATGATGTTCTTCAAATATAGCGTTTTGTTCGGACACCATAAGATCAGCTACAAAGGATTCATTAGTATTCGAAACAGCAGGAGTGCCACTAGCAGTTGAATTCCGGAATTGACGCCAACTTGGTATGCCTCAAAACCCACCAAATCGTCTGTAATAATATTATTTACTTCCCGGAATACAGCTGGTGCAACATTCTGACAAAAGAGAAGGAAATCGTATCGGAATAAACCAACAAGTGTGTTGTTCTCGGTAATATTACTAGAGGCTTCTTACAGTGGTGTGTGAAGATAGCATTCTTTAGATCGATTTTTGAGAGCATACTTGTGCGCTAGTCGTGAGAGCAGCGGGGGATACTGACTGAAATTCAACGGATTTTCAACGCACTCAATGCGCCAAGGCGAGAGGTACGTGCACCACGATCCTCTTATCAGTCCATACATAAAGCAGACAAACTTAGGAGCACATTCTGTTTTAGAACGCAGAATCCGTGGTTGATCTAAGATGGGAAAATTATTGACATCGATCATCTGAGCTTTGGATAATGTGAATGGTGCCCGAGACAAAACAAACGACATCCGTTTAAATTATTCAAAAGTGAGAACCGTATTATCCCGGTATTCTGCCCTGACAGGTAGCTGCCAGCTTTCGGATCGCAAGCCCAACGCCGTGGAAAATCGGGAGTGGTAGGTGGAATCTAAAATCTCACCAACCGAAGGGACAGCCACAACCAGATTTGCGGTCCGTTTATTCAACCACAGCCTGCTTGGGGTTCGGTGATACTCATGGGGCGTACCGTGTACCACGGGTGTTTGTTTGCTGGGCAGAAGAGCAGGCAAGGCTGTGCAGTTGGTAATTCGAACCCGTCTGTTCGGCAGCTCCCTAGATGAGCAGTATACTACAGTCGGTTCTTCGAGGATTTCCATTCGATTGCTGCTGCAATTTAAGAATTAATCGGAAAAAATCGGAACTCCGAGTGGATCTGGGAAGCACATGAGGATTTCAAACGTGTCAAAGTGCGGATACGGGATCAGAGACCGGCCAGTGTCGAACAGATGTCCACTGTTGCAACCAACGCTAGTGATCGCGGTTTCGGGGTAGACCTAATGCAGAGGAACGGATTTACCGAATAAGCCGGTCGTTTCCTGACCAACGCAGAGCAGATATGTTCGACGAGTGAGAAGGTATTTTGAGCGATTGTGCGGACCATGAATCACTTGTGGTCATACCTGCTTGGACGAAGATCTCATGTCGAAACCGATCACAAGCCTGTAGATTGGATCAGGACCACCAGCGTTCCTCGCGGAAAGCTGGAGCGCTGGGCACTTCGGTTGCTGGATTAGGACTTCACTATCCGACCCGTGAGACACGGCTGATTTGCTTTGTAGGTCAGAGTCTGAAGAGGAGGCCCACATGATCATGATTGGTGCCAATAATATCGTCGTCGAAGTGGATCCCGGAAGTTAGTGCAACTCAAACGGTAGGGTTCTCTGTTATGGAAGTTTTCGGCCACCTCTTTAGATGGAAGGCGTATTAAGAGCTGAGAGAGAAAGAGGTAATTGGAAACGTTCGAGAGTCACTCCGATCGGTTAGGTCTTAGTGAATCTGGCATGATTTCCTGTGACACCGCAAATGCAATGTTGTGCCGCCCGTGACATTGCGCGTCTTGAGACGGACGATGATAGTCAACTGCCAGGAGATGGCACACACAGGATACTTCAAGACATACGATTTACTTTGGCAGAGGGCCCAGTGGCCA